ACATCATGGCAGCGGGCCGGAAGATTGTCTGCATGTGACAATATTTACGCTGTGGTACTATAAAAATAAGGTATTATAAAAATCACCCAAGTGTTACCATTCGGATGAGATAATTATACCTGTCTGCCTGTTCAGGGTGAGGTTATAGATCCCCTGGTACTATTTGAAAAGAGTAGGGAGTCTCTCTCTCCTGGTGTCCTGGCTGATAATACTCCAGATAAATCACTTGGTCATTCACTCCATGGCTGTTTGTGAATCATTGTTGTGCGAATTAATTTGCAATATTCACCTGCAGAATACAGTACAATTAAACAGTATTCCTGTGAAGAGCTTTGAGATATTCTTTTGATTTGAATGGGGCTACAGTAAAAGCAAGGATTATTATCATTACTATTCTTAATATGATATCCTCCTGGGGGGAAGATAAACAGGGTTTCCTTGGAGCTGAACACTGGACTCCAGACTCTGGTCCACCACTGAGTATTCCATACATCCCACCAATACATGGAACATCCCAAGGAAGATTGTTGGAATGGAATATGCACTCTCTCCCTGGAGAGATGTCCATAAAGGCAACAAGTTCTGAAAGAGCTTCAGAAGATTTTACTGTAAAACTCAGTAACTGTATTTATAATACAAATAATCCTTGCATTTGATATAGTGACTTATCACTTCCGTGAGACGTCTCAAAGTACTTTACCGAATATACTGGAAAGTGGATTGTCTGTGTATTTTACGGGCAAAATATGACAGCCAATTGCGCACAGCAGTGTCCCACAAACAGACGTTAAGTGAATAATCAATTTTACACGTAGGATTGTTGGCCAGGCCACCGGGAGATTCCCTTCTCTTTTCGAATAACATTCACCTGAACAGGCAGACAGGGCTTCAGTTTAAAGTATCATCTGCAGAATGGCACCTCCAATAATGTTGTGCTCTCCCAGCATTGCATCAAAGCTTCAGCCAGGACTGTGAGCTCCACGTCCCAGATGTGCAGCTTAAAGAATGATAAAATAATAGAATGGTACAAGACAAAAAATTCATCCTAACGCAGTCTACATCAAGATCCTTTTCGTCACATCAAGATTACAAGATTAATTTAGATGAAGAAAGCCATCTGTTCTCATCTTTCCAAAAATAGCCACCCTCATATGAATCAATCAAAATATTAATAATAATAATCTTTGGATTTAATATAGCGCCTTATCAAGTTGTTGAAACATCTCAATGCGCTTCACAGAATATATTGCAAAGTGGATTGCGTGGGTGAAACACGGCAGCCAATTTTGCACAGGAGAGTCCCACAAACAGTCATGGATTGAGTGACAACATTTGTATTATGCCTGGAAAGCCATCTGCCAATTCACTAACAGCCGGGTTCCTACTTACTGCTGGGTAAAGAGAGGTGTGTGGATAAAAATTTCGCCCTGCCTCAGAATCGACCTGGGTCCTCTCGCTTACCAGACAAGTGCTCTAACCACTATGCTAGGGACTCCACTTTGGCACTCTGCTGCTTGCTCTCTTTAACAGCCTTTAAGATTCCTCTATCCCTTATGGGAGTCTGGTGGCTGTCCTATCCCGTGTCTGGCAACTTCATTCTGCTCTCATTTGGTACCACGTATCGTTGTGAAGCATCGTTAATCCAAGTGCTTTAAGCCTTTCATTTCTCCGCCTGAGTAAGGGGCCAGGTCTCAGCAGCACTGAGCAACATCAGGCTGTACAATAACATGCTAAAATCTGGCTCATGGAACATTCCCCCAGGCTCAAGGCAGGGCTGGCATTCAGAACAGCATCTCAAGAAAGATATTGCTATTTTTTTTCCCTGCCCCTATCCCTTTCTCCCTCCTCCCCCACTCCCTGCAACCCAGCAAAACAAGGTCCAATTTAGATCCAAGTGAAACATCAGCAAACTGTCTGGCACATTGTTAAATCCACAAGAACATGACTCACATCCTAGATTACCAAATGGTTCTCGAAACATGAAACATTATGACACACCACAAAACAACAACACAATTACATTTATAGAGCGCCTTTCACATCGGGAGGACGTCCCAAGGCACCACATCTCAAAGCAATGAGCTGTCAAGTGTAGTGACTATTTGTGGGACACTGCTTTGTGCAATTGGCTGCCACGTTTCACCCACAAAATAATAATAATCCTTGCATTTGATATAGCGCTTTTCACGTCTTCTAGACGTCTCAAGGCGCTTCACAGAGTATGCTGTAAAGTGAATTGACCGTATATTTGTGGGCGAAACGCAGCAGCCAATTGTGCACACCAGTGTCCCACAAACAGATGTGGATTGAAAATGACTGATTTATTATTGTTGTTTTGGAGGGATTATTATTAGGCGTGTGGAGTAACGAAACTTGCCCAAGGTTTCGCCCTGCCTGGAATTGCACCCAGATCTCTCGCTTGCAAAGTGAGTGCTCTAACCACTGAGCTACAGGACTCCAATATAAAATATGCAGTCAATTCACTTTGCGGTATATTCTGTGAAGCGCTTTGAGATGTCTCAAAAAAGTGATAAGGCACTATATCAATGCAAGGATTATTATTATTATGATCTTATTATTAAGTCCCAATGTGTGGCTTGAACCCACAACCATCTGACTCCGAGGTGAGAGTGATACCACCAGAGCTGGTCTGATACCTGGAGATGTAACATACTGATCTCACCTCTGGTTTATTTGCTGCCAGTGGTTAGTTCAGTTGGTAATACCAAACCACAAATGTTCAGTTGTTGAATCAGACGTTCAAACAAACCAGTTCCAAAACATGAATAGTATAATAATCCGTACAATTGATATAGGGCCATATAATATTTTTGAAACATCTCAAAATGCTTCACAGAATTTTACTTTGAAGTGTAGACAAGGAACAGCAATCTCTTTTATCATGCTTGTCTACAAATTTCCATTCCAGATGAATTACTTCAACACTCTCCTCGCAGACTTACCTACCCCCGACCTTCACAAGCTCTTCCTCATCTAAAACTCCACAGCCTCCAAACCTCTCTCTCACCAGGATCAACACTACTGTTGTGGAATCCTGTAGCTTAGTGGTTAGAGCACTCGCCTCACAAGCAAGAGGATCTGGGTTTGATTTCGGCCAGGGCGAAACTTTGGGCAAGTTTCCTTTCTCCACACACCTCTGTTTACCTAGCAGTAAGTAGGAACCCAGTTGTTAATCGATTGGCAGATCACTTTTTCTGTGGATAATAATCCGTTCAAAAAAAAAAAAAAATTTGGTCACTCAATCCACGACTGTTTGTGGGACACTACTGTGTGCAATTGTCTGTCAAGATTTGTCCACAAAATACATAGTGAATTCACTTCACAGTATATTCTGGGAAGTGCCATGGGACATCTAGAAGATGTGAAAAGGCAACTATATCAAATGCAAGGATTATTATTATTATTGCCATGATCCTCACTTGGCTCCACTGAGTCCCATTTCCCCAGCTGATTAACTTCAAGACCTTCGGCCTGACTTTCAAGTTTGTTCTCCGTCTCTGTAACCTCCAATACAGCAACAACAACTATTCACATTTATAATAATAATCCTTGCATTTGTTATAATGGCTAATCACATCAATGAGACGTCTCAAAGCGCTTCACATATTGTAAAACAGATTTAGTGTGTATTCCATGGGAGAACTCTCTCCTCGCCGGCCTTCCCAGCACCTCCCTCCACAAGCTGCAGGTCATTCAGATCTCTGCAGCTCGTGTACTGTCCCGCACCAGGCTTCGGGACCACATCACTCCCACCCTCGCTCGCCTCCACTGGCTCCCCATCCCCCAGAGGATCGAATTCAAGATCCTCATCCTCACCAACAAGGCCATTCACGGCCTTGCTCCCTCCTACATCTCCGATCTACTATCCCCCTATCTACCTGCCCGTACCCTCCGTTCCTCTGGCTCCAGTCTGCTCCACATCCCCCGCCCCAACTGCCCTACCATCGGTGGCCGGGCTTCAGCCTCTCAGCCCTTAGGCTCTGGAACTCTATCCCCCAGTGCCTTCACCTTGCCTCCTCCCTTTCCTCCTTCAAGGCCGGTCTCAAAACCTATCTCTTTGACCGTGCCTTCAGCTCCCCTCTCGACTCTCTACCCCCTCCTCGCTCGCTCCCTTCCCTCCCCTCACCCTGACCATTTCCCCCCTCCTCGATCCCTCCCTTCCCTCCCCTCACCCTAACCATTTCCCCCCTGCTCGGGTCCTGACCCAACTGTCCAACGCCTTGGGACGTCCTCCCGACATGAAAGTCGCTCTATAAATGGAATCTTGTTGTTGTTGTTGTTGTTGTAGCCAATTGCACACAGCAGTGTCCCACAAACAGTTGTGGATTGAGTGACCAATTTTTTTAAACATATACAGTGCTCTTCGTGCAGCTGCTTGGAAGCCAAGCAAAGGAGAAGAGGGAGGGTGGTGGGGGGGGTGGGGGTGGCAATGGCCAAATGTGTGGTCAAAGAGGTATGTCTATAGGCCAAGACTCCTCTATCTATACCCTCCACTCCTCCAATCTGATCCACTACTTGTGGCTCACTCAGTCCATCTCACTGTTTGCCCTATCATTGGCTCCGCTCTACTGATTTCTCTCCCAAATCACTTCTCTTTGTTTCTTCCCTTATTGCCTTCAGAAATCTCTTTAAAAGCATCACACTGACTGTGGCTTCAGTCAGCTTTCTGAAATGCCCCCTTCTTTACCTCAGTAATTCTCCACTGGGAAGGTGATAGGGCGGGTAATCTAACAAATACATAGTCAATCCACTGTACAATGTATCCTGTGAAGCACTTTGAGTTGTCTCATTGATGTGATCAGGCACTGTATCAAATTCAAGGATTATTATTATCTGCAGGGATGTGATCAAATGAGCCCAAGGGCCTTCTTCATCTGAACCTCTCTTGTGATCTCAGGATCTTGTGAAGTCCTTCAAAATGTACATCCTTACATGAAAGGTGTTATATAAAAATGATTTGGTGGTATTGAACTACTTACACTGAATCCATTGATTAAATTCAGACACAGCCCTTCATTCAGGCAAGCGATGGTGAGAATCTTACAGTTGTCAATTGCCTCTTGACAGTTCTTTCCTGTAAACCCTGGCAGGCACCTGGAAAGACACAAAAACACTCAAGATGTAGTCTTGGTGTAACAGCTATTGACGCAAGAACCTCACTAGTTAAAAGACACTCTTAGCACAATCAAATAGAAAGAACATGTATTCCTCTCTATATTCATCAAAATAGCTATTTTGAGGACAGCAAGTTCCTACTTGCAAGGGGTTGGGATGAGAAAGGGTAGAGGGCAGAGAGGGTAGGGTAGGAGTGTGACCGAAGGCGTGGCCGAAGTGGGGGATGCCTTGAAGGACGCAAGGAAGGGAGAAAGACGAAGGGACTGAGGGGTGGAGCTACAAAGTGTGGGGTAGCTATGAGATGCATAACTTATTTTATGGGCTAATTGCTGCTCGATTCACAAGATTACAAGATTGTTTTGGATGATGATGGACTTTTGGCCCCTCAGATCTCACCCATTCCGAATACCAACCTTACCATCCTTCCATCAAAACATCAAGCAATCTTTCTTTTATGAGTCCCAGTGACCTATCCTTTACCATTCTTCCTAGTAAACTCATTCCAGTCACTAATTATTAAACATATTTCCTGGTGTCTGTCCCTTGACAACCTTGATTTCTCCCTCTCTTGTTCTTCTCTCTTGAGGTATTTGAGGTATCCTTGAGGAAATCGAGATAGCTTCTTTCTCTCTGCATATTTTTTTTCCAACAGGATGGAGATGTTCTGGAGGTCTTGTTCTCTGAAGAACAATTCTGTTCAGCCATTGCAGTAAATTAACCCATTTTGTTAAACTGAGGTGCTTGCTATCTGTTCAGATAGATGTTAAAGATCTTATAATAATAATAATAATAATAATAATAATGCTTGCATTTGATATAGCGTTTTTCATGTCAGGAGGACGTCCCAAAGCGCTTCACAGAACACACTGTAAAGTGTGGGCAAACCTTGGGCAAGTTTCCTTACTCCACACACCTAATAATAATCCCTCCAAAACAAAACAATAATAAATTGGTCATTTTTAATCTACGACTGTTGTGGGACACTGCTGTGCGCAATTGGCTGCCGCGTTCGCCCACAAATATACAGTCAATTCACTTTACAGTGTGTTCTGTGAAGCGCTTTGGGACGTCCTCCCGACGTGAAAAGCGCTATATCAAATGTAAGGATTATTATTATTATTAAAGGCGCAATACAAATGTAATTTGTTGTTGTATTTTCAAGTGTCCCAGGAGAGCTTCCCACTCATAACCCATCGCTACTTATATGCCCATCAATCCTGGACCAGTAAGACCATCACCAGTAAGACTGCATATTTGTGGAAGAACGCGGCAGCCAATTGCGCACAGCAATGTCCCACAAACAGTCGTAGATTGAAAATGACCAATTTATTATTGTTTTGGGGAGTTTTGGAGGGATTATTATTAGATGTGTGGAGTAAGGAAACTTGCCCAAGGTTTCGCCCTGTGCCTGGAACTGAACTCAGGTCTCTCACTTGCAAAGTGAGTGCTCAAACCACTGAGCTACAGGACTCCACAAAGATAAGGCGCTAAAAGCAATATTATTATTATCATTAAAAAAAAGAGGCTTCTCTTTTCCTGGCAGTGCCACAATCACACAACGTTTGCGTACAAAATGCAGTCATTAAACTTTACAATCTATCCTGCGGACTGTTTTGAGACGTCCTCATGACATGAAAGGCACTGTATCTCATGTAAAGATTATTATGATTGTTACAATCGCCTCATCCTCCAGGCATGGGGGAGCTCATCAATGTCACAGATGCGCTAAGGCACATGTCAAGGCAGGTTTACTGAATTAAATCCTTCAAACTTCCTGGGACCTCAGCTGCGCAAGCAAAGCATGACCTGCTGCGTTGCTGCATTTTTGCAAGTCATCCTTGCCTTTTGTCTGTGATGGTCTTACTGGTCCAGGATTGATGGGCATATAAGTAGCGGTGGGTTATGAGTGGGAAGCTCTCCTGGGACACTTGAAAATACAACAACAACAAATTACATTTGTATTGCGCCTTTAATAATAATAATAATCCTTACATTTGATATAGCGCTTTTCACTTCGGGAGAACGTCCCAAAGCGCTTCACAGAACACACTGTAAAGTGAATTGACTGTATATTTGTGGGCGAACGCGGCAGCCAATTGCGCACAGCAGTGTCCCACAACAGTCGTAGATTGAAAATGACCAATTTATTATTGTTTTGTTTTGGAGGGATTATTATTAGGCTCTGTGTGGAGTAAGGAAACTTGCCCAAGGTTTCGCCCTCTGCCTGGAATTGAACTCAGGTCTCTCACTTGCAAAGCGAGTGCTCTAACCACTGAGCTACAGGACTCCACAGTACAGGACTTTCACGTCAGGAGCACATCCCAAGGCACTGGACAGCCAAGAATTTGTACCCGAGCAGGGGTTTGGGATCAGGAGGGATGGGGGGGTAGAAAGGGTAGGGGTAGGATGGTGACCGAAGGTGCAGCGAAAGAGAAAGGCTTTGAGATGGACCTTGAAGGAGGCAAGGAAGGGAGTGAGGCAAAAGGAATGTGGGATGGAGTTCCAAGAATGGGGGCAGAGAGATTGAAGGCCAAACCCAAATTCACTTTGCAGTATATTTTAGAAGTGCATTGTGACATCTCGAAGATGTGATAAGGCACTATATCAACTGCAAGGATTATTATTATTATTATTACCTTTATCACTCGGGATATCTTCTCTGACCTTGCCTTTGGCCACACTCCCACCCCCACTCCCCCTACCCTCTAACCCTCTTGATTCCAATCACCAACCCAGGTGCAAACCTTTAACTGTCCAGCCCTTGGGATGTCCTCCCGACGTGAAAGGTGCTATATTAATGTAATTTGTTATTTTGTTTATTTTGTAGAGTGAACAAGGCTGCCAACCTGCACACAACCACGTCCCACAAACAGCACTCTGTGAAAAGAGAAGGGAGTTTCTCCTGGTCAACGATCTCCAAGATAAAATCGATCACTCATTTCACTGCCCTTTGTGGGACGTTGCTGTGTTTAAATTGGCTGCCGTGTTCACTCACTGCACTGTATCCAGTTCGACAAAGTTGTTAAATCAAAACCAAAGATAATTTATGACATAATGTAAGGTACTTTAACGTTTGCCTACAAAACACACAGTAAATCCTGCAAACCTCCTTGAAACATCCTCACTGCTTGAAAGGCGCTGTATCAAATGTAAAGATTATTAAATTATGCCATTGTTAAGCATTAAACTGTGCCGCTGTTAAGCAATCTGAGATGCTACCACCCGTAAAGGCAGTTATAAAAATGCTAGTTGTTGTTGCACTAGTTGGTCAATCGACATCTGAGAAGGGTGGGTTTGAGCCCTCACTCACTGAAGAGTAGGTATCCCCCTGTGAGCTTCCCGGTGAGCCTAATAGCTCAGCATAAAATGAGTGAGAGAATTGCTACCATCTTCCTAAATATTCCATTCCAGCAATCTATCTCTGGGATTTCCAGGAAAAGGTGGAATGCATGGAATTCTCAGTTTGGTTTGGATAACTCTTAAGCAACGGTGATGGGTTTCCGCATGTGTCCGACTCGGCTGACCGAAAAGAAATTCTTGTTGCTTTATTATAATGTCGGCGAGGAGTGACTCGGGAAATAAGCTGCGGGAGCACAGCTTACTGTTGGCCTACTGTCGGAGTTAAGTTTGTGCGGTCTGGGGTTTGGGACGGTTACCTGCAATGGTAATTCCTCTCCGCACGCAAGCAGCTCCCGTTATTGATGCACGGTGATGAGTCACAGGGTCCCAGTCGAAGCTCGCATCTCTCTCCGGTAAAGCCAGACTCACAGGTACACACAAAACCCTTCAAGAGAATGAGGGGAGAGCAGTTAATAAACCCGACACAGCTTTAATAATATTAACGCAGTATTGTTGCTAAGTTGCTGCACACACCAACTCTTCACAATCCATCGACCCATAGAAAGCTGAGGCGCAGGAATCAGGTCATTTGGGCCATCATTCTGATTCTCTGAAAGAGAGTTCCGGTTAGTCCTATTTCCCCCCTTACAACCCCCCTCCCAACCACCTCCCTCCCTTCCTCCCGTCCCCCCACTTCCTCCCCAACACCTCCCTCATCCCCTCCAACCCCCTCCCCACCTTCTCATCCTCCCTTCCCTCCTCCAACCCCTCTCCCCACATCTCCCCTCCCCCTCCACGTTCTCCCTCCCTCCCCCCTCCCTCCCCCCTCCATCCCCCCTTCTCCCCTCCATCCCTCCACCATTCCCCCTTCCCCATTCCACCCACCCACCCTCCCTCTCTTCCTCCCGCCCTCCCTAGCCCCCTCCCTCCCTCCCTAGCCCCCTCCCTCCTACCCACCCTCCCTAGCCTGCTTCCTCCCTCCCTCCCACCCTCCCAACTGCCCTCCCGCTCTCCTGACCTCCCTCCCTCTCGCCTACCAACTTGCCCACCCTCCCTACCTCCCATCCTCCCTCCCTCCCTCCCTTTCTAATAATAATCATTGCATTTGATATAGCGCCTTATCAGGTCTTCGAGACGTCTCAAAGCTCTTCACAGAATATACTGTAAAATGAATTGACTGTATATTTTTTAGGCGAAATGCGGCAGCCAATCTTGGATACTGTCAAGTGCTCTGAAACGCTACCCTGCATGGAGGGTGCTATATAAATGCAAGTTGTCGTGGTTGGTTACCAATAAAAAGGCAAATACTCTCTCAGAATTGATGGGCTTACATTAATTCCATCCAGGCATGTGGCCCCATTCAGACAAGGCTCTGTGGTGCACTCATCCACATTGATCTCACAGTTGTGCCCAGAGAAGCCATCCGGGCAGTCACAGATGTAACCTGGCATCTCATTCCGACAAGCACCACCATTGACACATGGCAAAAGATCACAGTAACTCATCAACTGCTCGCAAAACGTGCCTGGAAAAACACATCCGAAAACAAATACAGCAGTTATATATATGCCCATTTCACAAGACCACATGATTATAATAATAACCCTTGCATTTGATAATGCATCTTGTCACGTCGTTGAGATGTCATCAAGTGCTTCACAGTAAATATTTTAAAGTTGATTAACTGTGTATTTTGTGGGCGAAACAAGGCAGGCAATTGCGCACAAAGAAAGGCGTGAATTGAATGACCTTTTCTTAAGAGATTATGTCCCTGGAAAGCTATCTTGCCAACTGGATTACTCCTTGCTGGTAGGTAAACAGAGGCGTGTGGAGTAAGAGCTCTACTATCTTGTTGTATCCTAAAGTATTGTTCTGGGTTTATTTTTTCAATTCCATTTGAACTGTTGTACATCTCTGTATTTGTTAATTACACATATCTCAGGACTTTCTCTAGTTTTCATTCAGAGAGGTGAGAATGATACCAAATGAGGCAAGGTGACTCACAAAGATATTGGTGGAACATTTTGACTCAGGAATTTTGTTTGGTCGGTGGGTGTCTGACGTGTGGAAACACATCACCATACTTAAGAGTATCGAAAAGCAATGGAGAGTTCACATATATTATGCTTCCTCCACATGGAAATTTCCCTGTGTCCTGAATGAAATGCACACTTTTCGCCCCAGAGGATGCCCTCTGCTTACATAATTACGTGTATTAGTTGTTGGTTGGCAAAAGCCAAGGCTTGAGGATCCCACAGTATGCGTTCGGGATTCTGATGGGATTTAACTAGCTAAAAGCACATTGTTTGCCGTTAAGAGCACTGTCTGGCAAACTTCCCATTGCTCGTCCAGCCAAAACCACCCAACCTGTTAAAACTTCAGCTTGTAGGGTTAACAGAAACTGAGTGGGCAGATTATTTCTGGAAGGTGTACTGCATAACAATGGGGAAAGGAAAAAAAAGGAAAGAATATTTGTTATGGAGGACCAAGAAGATATAATAGTCTTCGTATCAAGTCGCTCTAGGCAACATTACATGTTTATTCAACAAAAGTGACAATATGCTGCTCCACTAAAAATGCCGAATCAATAGCCAATTCCATTTTCCTAGTTATTATGTAAATGCCATAACTTATTAATAGCAAAAGATCTTTTAATATGAAACTCAAAGGGAAAGGACTGGTGATAAAAAATAGTTCAGCATTTCTGTGTGAAAGGCAGTCATTATTTGGCCCCTGGTATTCGTCAATATGTACCTTGATAATAATAATAATAATTATCCTTACATTTAATTTAGAGCCGTTAACACATCTTCTAGACGTCTGAAAGCGCTTCCCAGAATATACTGTAAAGTTAATTGACTGTATCTTTTGTGGGTGAATTCAGCAGCAAATTGTGCACAGCAGTGTCCCACAAACAGTCATGGATTGAGTAACTAAATTATTATTATTATTATTTATTTGAAGGGATTATTACCCCTGGAAAGCAATCCCCCAATCGACTAACAACCATTTTTCTACTTACTCTTGGTAAAGAGAGGTGGGTGGAGTAAGGAAACTTGTTCAACATTTCACCCTACTGGGAATCGAACCCAGGTCCTCTCACTCATGAGGCGAGTGCTCTAATCACTAAGCTACAGGACTCGACAATGCATCATCAGAATTGCCTTCCTTCAGATTAGACATTAAACCAAGGTCTCATCTGGCTGTTCAGGTGGCCATTAAAAAATCCCGTTGCACTTTATTAAAAAGAAAACAGATTTTCCTGCATTGTCTTAACAAGCACCCCTCTAGATAAAATTAGTCATTCATTTCAAAGGCACCTATGAATATACTTTACACTGAATCCTAAGAAGTTTATTTTAATGATGTGGTGAAGTGTAAGCAAACATGCCAGGCAATTTGCACACAACTATGTCCACAAACAGCCATAAAATGAGTGATTGATTTTATTTGGGGATTGTCGACCAGGACACTGGGAGAAATACTTTTTTCTTTTCAAATAGTGCCATGGGATCTTTAGTGTCTTAACAACAACAAATTACATTTACAATGCACCTTTCACATCAGGAGGACGTCCCGAGACTCTGAAGAGTTAAGGGTTTGCACCCAAACTGGGGGTTGGAGTCAAGTAGGGTAGAGAGTGGGGGTGGGGCTGAGATAACTGAAGGCCCGGTCAAAGAGGAAGGTCTTGCGACGGGCTGTAAAGGAGGCAAGGGAGGGGGAGAAGCGATTCTGGAATGAGGTTCCAGAGGGTGGGGGGGAGGAAAGGTTCAACCCAAATGGTGGGGCAGGCAGGGCAGGAGACATGGAGCAGGACAAGTTGGTAAGATTTTAGCAGGTCGCAGAGGTAAGGATGATCAAGACTGTGGCAACTTTAAAAGTTAGAACAAAGATCTTAAACAAAGATCTACGGCTCCTCTGTAGGATGGGGAGCCAGTGAAGCTGGGCGAGGATGTGAGTGATTAGCTCACAGAGTTTGGGTGCAGGAGAGGACACAAGTTGCGGAATTCTGAATAATCTGCAATATATGGTAGAAAAAGTTGGAAATCCAGCAAGCAGTGAGTTAGCATAGTCAAACCTGGACATAATGAAAGCATGAATAATCATAATAATAATAACAATAATAATAATAATGCTTGCATTTCATTAATTGCCTTATCACATCTTCGCGACGTGTCAAAATGCTTCACATAGTATATTGTAAAGTGAATTGACTGGATATTTTGTGGGAGAAACCGGCAGCCAATTATGCACAGCAGTGTCCCACAAACAGTGGTGGATTGAGTGATCAAATTATTATTATTTATCAATTTTTTATATTTTTTTGAAGGGATTATTATCCCTGGAAAAGTGATCTGCCAATCGACTAACAAACAGGTTCCTACTTACTGCTGGGTAAACAGAGGCGTATGGAGTAAGGAATCTTGCCCAGTGTTTCAACCTGCCAGGAATTGAACCCAGGTTATCGCTTACAAGGCAAGTGCTCTTACCGCTAAGCTATAGGACTCCAAGGTTTCAGCAGCCTGAAGGAAGAGATAATGGTGAGGCGGGCAATGTTACAGAGGTGGGTGAAGGCAGAATGGGGCATGGCGCGGATGTGGGGTATAAAGGACATTTGAAATAGTACCTACAACACTGAGAATGTCTCAAGGCACTTTACTGTAATTACTGCAAAGTGTAGTGACTGTATTTATAGGGAAATGTAGCAGCCAATTTGTGCACAGCAATTTAGACCTTCTAACTACAATGAACTAAATGACTAATCCTATCTGGCAGATTGTTGGTCAAGACATCAAGAGAAATTCTATTCTCATTTTTCGAACTGTATGCAGCCACCCTCTACGCCCTTGATTCTAATCCCAAGATGTAGTGCAAACCCTTGACTCTGGAGTTCAAAGTCCTTGTCCACACTTTCGAAATCCTCCACGGCCTTGTTCCTTCCTTCTTCTGTGATCTGTTGAATCCATATCAATCTGTCTGCTCCCTCCTAACAGCAGGCTCCTGCCTGCTCCAAGTCCCCTGCCCAGCCCACCCATCATCGCCAGTCAGGTCTTCAGCTTCCATGTTCCACCCTTTGGAACTCCATTCCATGGTTACTTTTCCTCGCTCCCTCCCTTGCCTCCTTTAAGACACGTCTCAAGACCCTCCTCTTCAACTGCACCTTCATCTATCTTCCTAACCCCTACCCTCCCTGCCCTCCACCCCTCCTGATCCCAATCACCAGCTCGGGTCCAAATCACTGACTGTCCAGTACCTTGGGACATCCTCCCGAGGTGAAATGCGCTGTACAAATACACAGGCAAGCCTTTTGAGCTTTAGCCCTGCAATGTAGTGTAAGACTATTATAGCTAAAAGTCCCAGCGTAGGCTGTCAATCTTCGAACTTCAAGATATAGAGATGAGAATACTTCCAACTGAACCTGCTTGACACCGAAACTTCAGTCAAAACTTTGAAGCCAATTTTACAGCTGGAATGAGGAGGGGTGTTTGAGGCCAGGACACTGGACTCATTTCAAAAGTAGCTTGATATTGTAATGGGAGGACTGAAGGTTGGGTGTTTTGCAAAGATGAGATCAGATGAGCCGAAGGGCTTTCTTTAACATGACGGTCCCTTGTGATTTTGCATTCTCTTGTTCATTATAAACTCTCTATGATTTTAATGATTCCCTTTGCATCCAGATGACACATTTCACAATTAAGAAAGCTACTTAAATGTCAATAATGTGTGTATGTGAAAACATGACTTAGTTCCTTCAACATCAGATAAGTGAATCATAAGTGAATCATCATTATTCAGACGTTCGCCTGAATGCTAATAAATCAAGCGCAATGTGCATGTAAATGTTGGTACACTTGAGAGGATTCTGAGTTACCTGCTATTCACACCCTTAATCAACAGCACCATTCGTGCATGAAAGCCCTCAGCATATGTTCCCAATAGGTAGCAATCCTGGAATTCTCTACTTAAAGCGGAACCTTTCTTGTTCATTTAATTGTATAGCATCCAAGAAAGTAAAGTTATAGAAATATATAACACACAGGATGTGGAATGAGACCATTCAATCCATTAATAATAATAACAATAATAATAAAAATAATAATGGTTACATTTCATATAGTGCCTTTCATGTCAGAATGATATTTTTAACTGCTTCACAGGATTTACTCTTAAGAGCAGTGACTGTTTTTTGTAGGTGACCTCAGCGGCCAATTTATACAAAGCCACGTCTCACGGTCATCCACAATGTGAATGAACTATTTTATCCATTGGTCAGTAACCGGGAGAAACTCCCTTCTCTTTTCGAATAGTGCTACGGGATCTTAAACACTGATGGTTGGGTCGGTAACCTGAGGACACCGATTTAAAATAATTGTGAAAAGAAACAGAGGGGAGGTAAGGAGAAATGTTTTCACACAGCGAGTTGTTCGGATCTGGAATGCATTGCCTGAAAGGCTGGTGGAAGCGGATCTGGTAACAACTTTTAAGAGAGAAGTAGATAATTATTTAGGGAGAACAAGTTTGCAG